ATTATTGTTAAATGAATAACAACATTGATTACATTTCCGAGAATTTTATTGAATACTGGTTGGGTTTTAATGTTTACCCATAAAATAAACCCACCCCCACATTTTTTTAAGGTCAACCTAATATGGCTACTTCATTTTTTTTTTTTTAATTTTAATTTTTTTTATTATACTTTTTTAAGGGTTTGGTTTATTATTAGATTGTCTGGCTGAATTTATATGATTTAATAAAATGTCGTCGGTCTGATGAGCCAGGATATATATATATATATATATATATATATATATATATATATATATATATATATATATATATATATATATATATATATATATACGCACACACACACATATATATATATATATTTATCCGTTGAAATAAATTTATAACCGTTTATATGATCAATATTTAAGTCTTTTCCATATTATTTATTTATATTGCTCTGTATATAAATTTATACATTGACCTCACATCATGGATTTAAAATTTTTAATATTTTTATATTAAAATACCTCCTGGAAATAATCGCTATCACTCAGTGATTTAGTATTTATATATATCTATCTCTTTCTCTCTCTCTCTCTCACACACACACACTCTCTCTTTATAAGGTGTGGTATATTTATGGGATAAAGTGCTCAATATCAGAGATAGAGCATGTGTATATATAAAAGTGAAGATACAAGTCAACACTTTGAGGCGATATGCTGTTTTCATGCTAGACGCAATGGTAAGGCCTGACGATTGCGTCTAGGATGAAAAAGACTGTCGCCTCTAACTGTTGACTCTAATGTTCACTTTTAAATATATATATATATATATATATATATATATATATATATATATATATATACGCAAGGTATCACAAGTCGTAATTAATTTCATCAAAAAACGAATATGTCTATATGGAAAACAACATTTCACCTCAATCCGATAAATAGAATCTATAAGTTTTTAATAATGGAATATTTTGAAGTGACTGTTTGTCTCCCTTACTATTTTGTGTATCCCTAATATCACTATAAGGTATTTCAAAAGAATATCTGTCATTTGATTTACATGGATGACTTTGTATGAAGTTGTATGCTAGGAAAAACTTTGAGCGGGAAGGTTTCCTGAAAACGGTAAATGTTTCAATGATGACATTGGAATGGAATTCGGCTTGGATAATTGGGCTAAAGCCATAATTTTACGGAGATCACTACAAAAAAACTCCTCTGTTAGCTTAGACTCTAGAATAATATAATTTCTGGTGTTTATTTTGATTGCGTATCGCTTATTTTCATATGTTTTTGCTTATTACAAATTTCAACTCCCGCCCTGTCTTTTAGAAAGCAAAGAGTAAGCATCTCACACAACGTGGCTGATTTGCCCAATCCGTTTGGAGATTTGACTGAAAACGGCAGAACCAACCTAATTAATGGTAAGACTTGTTACATTCCAACCTCACGGGACAGCGACAGAACAAATATGGAGAGTTAGAAAATACAAAGAGAATGTTATCTGACATTTATTTGATTACCACTTCAAGCAATGATAAACAACATCTTTGCATTTCACTGCATTCATCTGAATACATTAAAAATTTCTAGAAGGGAGAATTTGTCAAATAATCACCCATGTACTTGATACTGAAAAGGATAGTCGTAAAGAGAGAGAGATAGAGAGAGAAAGAGAGAGAAGTGGAAGTAAAAAAAAGAAGAAAAAATATTGCATCAATTTATTTTCATTGGAAATACGACGATCAAATTATTCTCTGGGTTTTAGATTATGAGGTAATTCCGTTGTCCTGCGACATTTTTACAAGGTATCTTCATTGCGGTAGGAAGTAATGATTTCTGATATATTGAAATAGAGAATTTAAAACATTCTTAAAAGAGCTCTAATATTAAAATCATGCATGCAGTTATTCAAAACAGTTATCTGAACTCTGATTTTATAATTATTGTTTGACGTAATAGTTTATTTCGATATTTGTTTCGGACTTCCAGAGCTGCCTGATATTCACCATTATTATTATTATTATTATTTTTATTTTCTTTGATTTCTGGCGTCTACACATTTCTTTTCGGGTCCCGCCCAGGGACCTAAGGTTAGAAATGGCATCATGACACTTTCCAAAAAAAAAAAAAAAAAAAAAATTACATCGATAAAGGCCTTCGTAAAGTGTGGAATGTACTTGTCAGAACAATTTTTTGTATCTCCTTTAGGCATGGACTTCCAGGAGACCCTTCAATTAGTCTACTGGAATCTTTTCCAACCAGTCCTAGGGCTCCAACTACAACAAGGATTGTTGATGTTCCCATATGCCACATTTTCGAGATTTCTATTTCAAGGTCCTTGTATTTTGACAGCTTTTTGAATATCTTCAAAGATACATTGCAGTCAACAGGGGCTGCCATATCAATAAGGAGGCACCGTTATTGTTTGTGGTCTTTAATAACAATATCTGGGCGGTTGGCTTTGATTGTTCTGTCAGTGTGTATTGTGTAATCCCATAGAATTGTAACAGGTCCTATCTCCGTAACCGGGTCTGGGTGGTGTTCATACCAGTTTCTTTCAGTTTTCTTCCGTAGAAGTTGCAGATTTTCCAGTGCAGATATTGGCCCACTCTGTCATGTCGGGTTTTATATTCAGTGGGTGCCAACACCGTACAACCTGCTACAAGATGATCAATCGTTTCTGGATATTTATCACAGAATCTGCATTTTGACTGACACAATATTTTAGTATATGTGCTTGATAATTCCTAGTTAGCAAGCATTGGTCCTGCGCAGCAAGGATAAAACCTTCAGTTTCCGCTTTCAACCCTGCACTACGTAGCCACTGATGGGTACGGGTTTTGTCTACGTCAGCTTGTTTGGTACGGGCAGAGTATTGGCCATGAAGCGGTTTATCTTGCCATCGCTTCTGTAACTGGTCTGTTGCATTCGTCTTAGCTATCTTTTTAGGTATTTTGCAGTTTCAGCCGGTGTATTGTGCTGTAGTTGCATCTCTACGCCCATTTGGAACTCCATTTTGAATTTGTTGGCTTCCTTCATTACGGAGTAGAGACGCTTACTACTTTCATGTTCCTTGACTCACACCATCATCCAGTCTTCTGTAGTTTCCAAATATCTTTAGAGGCCAATTGTTGTAGTTTTGTAGGACAGTTCTAGTTGAACTAATCCTCTGCCTCCTTCGGATCTGGGCACATACAGACGGTCGACATCAGCTTTGGGATGATGCATGCGATAGCAAGTGAGTAGCTTTCTCGTTTTGGCATCCAGTCGCTTAATTTCAGCTATGGTCCAGTTAAGGACATTAAAGCTGTATTGCACCACAAGGGACAGCCAATGTGTTTATAGCTGATATCCTGTTTTTTGAGTTCAGCTCAGTATTTAGTACCAGACGTACACGCCTGTAGTATTCTTTTCTTATTTTTCCTTCATTTGGGGGTGTTGTATGCCATCTCCTTCGCTAATTCCTAGGTACATATAAGCTTCACCATGCTCCAGTTCCCTAATCTTTGTGACAAAATCTAAATCTATTAAGGGTGTTTCTGTAATTCTACCTTTCTTGAAAGTTACTTTTGGACATTTATCTAATCCGAAGTCCATACCTATGTCGTCACTGAAGTATTTTACAATATTGAGGAGGCCTTTCAACTCATTGTCGTCTTTGGCAAAGAGTTTGATTATTATTATTATTATTATTATTATTATTGTCTTCGATTTCTGTTGTGTACTCGTTTCTTTCCGTAACCCGACCAGACACCTAAGGTCAGAAATGGTATCACGACATTTTCTACTGAGTAATTTAAAAAAAAAATAAAACAAAAATATTTTAAATAGATCAGACCCTTATTAATGTGGTGCTATACCCGTGAGAATATATTTTTATATTTATGTAAGATATGGGCTACCCGGAATCCCTTCGCTGTTTCTATTGTATTCTCTTTCAATCAATCCGAGGGCTCCATTTAGTCGTCCCCACAGGTATTGTTGAAGTTCTTTTTTATTTGAGCCATTTTTGAGCCCATTTGAAACGATTTAAACGGGTCCTTTTATTTTGATAGCGTGTGTTGAAGAACCGTCCTCAAAGATACACTACAACAGGTATTGTTGATGGTGACACATTTTAGACGATTTCAACCATATCAATAAGGAGGCCATATCAATAAGGAGGCAACTTTTCTTGTTTACGGTCTCTAATAACGATGATTAGCTTTGATTGTTCAGTCTGTGTATTCTGTAGATATTATTATTATTATTATTACTATTATTATTATTATTTGTGGTACCCTGATAATTCAAGTTCCCTCCAGAGTCTGTCAGCAAAAGGGCGCTGCAGAAAAGTTATCTATGCAAGGTATATATTTGGAACGTTTCCTTTAGATGGAAAGCATTTTGCAAAAATTCAGTCTTAGGTCTAATTCTTGCACTTTATGCTTTGAGAACTCTCAACTGACTTCTTGCTTTCCTGAAAATTTTCAAATTATGAATGCAACGTTAATCCTTACATTAAGTCCCTTTCAAACACAATATTTTATTCTCTTTTCTCTTCATGAATCTTTAATCCAGTAAGCCCTTGCGTCTTAATCACTTCATCACTTGGCTTGGGATGAAATGAGTGAATGAAAATGTAAGGAAAACGAGAGACTCCCACAAATTGAAGAAGGCCGTGAATATGAGATCGATGAATCATATCAATATCATATGATGAATACAGGATAGAATTGATGATAATGTAGAGAGTAGTAAAACTCGAAAAACAGAAAGAGAATAAAAACACAAAAAAAATCTATAATGTACATACAAAAAAAAAAACAAAAAAAACACGGACGCTCGTCAAAGAGTTAAGATTTCCTAGTCTCTCTAAATAATGAACCCAAACATTATTTTATTAATGACCGTCAGAATTTTTTTTTATCCAGATTTAATATTTTGTATCATTTCAGGGAAAGGTTTTCGGAATAAATGGCCGTAGGTTTCACATATAAATTTCGCTCACGTCCCCAGAGATGTCTCCGTTTACGAAATATCTATCTACTTTGTTTGTAGCGTATCAATCTTTCGCAAAGGTTAGGCATGTGGTGTTTGAAGATTGAAAATATATTATTGTTTTCTGCCCACATACTGGAAGCGAAAAGAGGCCAAGAGCTTCATATCTTCCACTGAGGTAGCAGGAAGGTGGGCAAACGATTGAAGAGATTTGGGACAAAACTGGAAATCCCATAGGGTTAAGCAGAACGAATCACAGTCTGCTTATATGTGTATGTTTTGGCCAGTGTGTGACAACACACACACACACACACACACACACACACACACACACACACACACACACATATATATATATATATATATATATATATATATATGGCTCAATGGTATAAGCTCTGATTAACACCAATGTTTTCAATTGAGCACTGTTGAATTAAAAGCTAATTCTAAAAACAACGGTCACCTGCGTAAATACGAAGCTCGTCAGTAAAAAGAATGGAGCACATTAGCTGCATGGCGTTCGTTTACGCTTGTAAAAACAATACACTAGATTTGGCTGGCTCGTTCTATCGAGTGAAAATGACTCACTGTTAGAAGTTCTGACTGACACCAAATCGGTTGGGTTTCGATCCGGGCTTGAGGCATTCAGTAGTTTGGTCGCACCGAGGAGCTGTGATACAGCGAAATAGTTCTGTATATAGCTCATGATCCATTGGTATATAATCGAAGTGAATACTATTAATACAATATAAAATGTTAAATATTAAAACTGATTCACGCATAGAGCTCAATGCTCTACTTATACAGGGCAACATATTTCATACAATAGGAATTAAGTTTACATTAAGTTAATGATCATTTTCACCTTGTAAATTGAAATAAAATTTATAAAAGAGTTGTCAGTGGATGGTAAATTATTTATTTATGGAAGAAAAGAAATAGAGAAGGAAAAAGAGAAAAAGTGAGCAAATAGAACTATGAAGTAGTGTAAATCTGGAAATAATGGGTAGTCAAACGGGGAACGAAGAGAAAAAAAAAATGGGGGAGAAAAAAGTGAGTAGTAATAACCTATTTTTTTATACACAGTAGCAACCAGAAGGTAGTTTAGACATAAAAAAACCTTTCTTAAATCTAAAGACCAAAAATAATATTATGTCAAATAAAGAGATAAACCGATTTATATGAGACAGAGATAATTCAGAATTAAAGATATATTAAACTAAACATTATATCAGACAAATTAAAAAAAATATATAAAAAAGAATATATTGAAATAAACATATAATCTTAAGAAGAAGTGTCTAATTTAACATCTACATTTAAATCAACATAGTTTAAATTAAACCTATATTAAATAATTCGCATCTAAATGAAAAAAAAACAGTTAATAATTATCATTTAATATATGCCTTTAGAATACATTTTATAGGATAAAACTGTATAATAAATATAAATATATTAATTTAATTAATTAAGAGTAAAAAGATTTTTAAATACTGTATTAAATATTACATAAAAACAATAAATAATACATTTTAATAAAAATAATAATAAAATATTATTTAATAAATCGTAGATAGTAATCCGATTCTGTGTATATGTAGGTGTGGGCATGATTATTTGAAGCGTGATTTTTGGTGGAGTTATAATTTGGGATACAGTTTTTTTTTTAAACAAATATTAGGATATTATGTATTTAATGTCGTGGAAGTTCTTTCATATTGGTTGTTTGGTCGTATTTTAGAATAATTTACGTGAAATAGCTACAGTTTATTAGTATATGTATATAGTTGGTAATGTTATTATAATTATATGTTGTTGGTTATTTTTTTATATAAAATATACTGATGGTATTTTTAGTATAGAAATGTATCTTTATACTTTTATAGTGTTTTATTTGGTAATTCACTATTTACCCATACCTGGGACACTAACAGGTGATCCTACTTGGGTCTAACACCAATTAAGAGGTGCTTCCACGCTCCTCAAAACCTCCAATCTCCCGATCACTGGTCTTGCTGCTGGATGTTGTTTGTTTTCATACCCAGGAATAGCTCAAGATTTACAAATATCGTGAGTATACCTCGGATCATTGTGTTATACAACTGGAAAAGTAAATCTTATTTTAAGTTTTAAGTTCAAAAAATTAATCTGGACTACTGAATTTAAACATTTTCCAAATGGCACCCATATCCTAAGTAAAGAAACAGAGTAATCTCATTGACTGAAGGTTTCGTATCATGGCCGCCGTTTGTGGCAGCGGTCACTGAGACCAGCGCAAGAGCATTCTATTTTAACGTGAGTACATTTTGTACAATGATATTACTTAATTTTAATTTTACAAGAACAATAGTTCAATAATATCACATAACTAATTATGAACAACACCTGTTTGTGATTCCTGGAGAATTAAAGAGAATGAAAGAATTGTTTGCCAAGTTTAGGAATTTAAATGATTTCTAATAAGGGACATACTGAAATTTCATAATGACAAACAAATTAGCTTGAGTGATCGACGACATATTTTTATTTTTTTCAGTATTTAGATACTATACGGATTTAAAATATATTAGCACTAGCTGTGATAAATTAATGCTTTTTCTGTTTTAATTCACTGATGAATCCTAATCTTTAAGTTAATTAATGAATAAGGTCTTTTCGAGTTCCACGACAATAAAATAGCTGTGGAAATCCGCTGATTATATCGACAAATATTTGAGGTTACTGACTTTATCTAATTATTGTATGGCTACAGAAAGTAAGATAATAAAAAAGATTTAAAATTTATATTTCACTGAAGCATATTTTAAACGGATGAGAGTGTTTCCTACTCCTCATCCTTCCCATTCTTTCTTTCTTATTTATCCGTTTGAAAAACCAGATCTCATATGGTCACCGAAGGTAAGCAACGTCAGTACGCAGTTAGGTGACCATTTGAGAATACCGGGAGCTGTAAACGTTGATGAGCGGGTTGTGTAATGGATAACGGCTGGGAATTGAGAACCAAAGCGATAGAGGGTTACAGATTAAGAGGCACAGTTTATGCGTATATATATATATATATATATATATATATATATATATATATATATATATATATATATATATATATACAAGATAATGGTTAACTCGAGATTTGAACAGGTTAAGATCGTAGTGAAGCAACTTCTTGCGAGTCGGTTCTACAAGGCAGTGGTTCATGAGAAGGAAGTACGGAGTGGAAAATCCATCTCACCAGGGGAATACGAAAGGAATGAGGTTAGTTCGCCTCAATATGCATGGCATGTCAGGTGTTAATACTGGTGGAAGGAGTGTAGTCCCATGTAAATAGGGATAGAGTAGCGGGAGTTTTGCAACGTCACGTCAGCGAGAAAATGTTGCAGTGTGGAAAATAATTCGTCACCAACAAGGACACTTTTGGACTCTATCGAGTTTGGAAATTGAAGACTGTGGAACTCCCGTCTATATACTCTGATCTGGCCCTTGAAAAGTGTTGTGTTCTAAAGAGTCTGTGTTTGAATCTTCCTTCTAATATGATAAGAGAGAAGGCCTTGGAGGAACAGTCGAATAGATTTAACGCAGGGTTAACTGACACATACTTACTAGTCGTATAATAATCTTCTGTTGTACTTACTGTTTAATATATGATATATCTGTGACACTTGCTTTTTTATTTCTTTAACCATTTCCTTGGTCACAACAAGAAGGTAGAGGAAAGCAGGAGGAGCGAAATAATTGCTGTATCGATACGGAGGAACGACACTTTTTTCAAGCATCTTTTGCGATGGATCCTTTTGTACGAGTTACACGATGTCTGGGCTGAACTTATCCGTTGTTTCATCAACATAAATATACACTAATGACCGGATAATCTTACGCAGATTTTTTAGACAGAGTAAGAAAAAGTTTGTACCAAGAAACGAACCTTGTTAGAAGCCCGCGTTGATCGCTTAGGACATGGAGGATTGGCCGTTAACAACTACTTTCAGGACCCTAGGCGTTAGTAAGGGATTACTGCCTGAGAAGACTCTTCTAGTGATTCCATACAAAAGAGCTTGTTCAGTAACCCCATATTCCACACCTTGCAAAAGGCCTTTGAAATATCTAATGAGATTGTCCTTAAGATGTATTTGTAGCCAAATGCTTCACTAATTCTGTGAGTAATCGAAGTAAGGATATCATCTTTCGACCGAGCAGATCCGCACATTTTGTTGCTCAAGAGGTGTTGACCATGTTCACCATAGTCTATGAATATAGAATAGAGCGCAGTGCGTAATCTGTTCAATAAAACAACGTTAAAGATTAATACTCACGAGCCAGACACTCTCCTGAATCTGACTATATCGCCAATACCACCAGCAGCTTTTCTGTAATTCTTCAGGCTTAGATATCAAAGGGATGCAGAGAATATTCGGGAAAACATGGCCGCCTTTATACATGTCGCATTGAATATTTTGAGCCTTCTGATTGGTTAAACCCTTCTATTGGTGAACTCTAAAATGAATCAGCTCATTTCGGCTGGCTCACTAGTACACCAGGGTACCCAGAAATTCCAACAAGAGGCTGTGCTTTTTGAGGTGATCAACAACCTTCTTGTTGGTTATAGTCTCAAAATGCTTGGTAATGACACCGAGGAAACTGATGGGCGTATATTATCGAGCGGACGAGAGCAGCCCACGTTTTTAATACCGGGCATGCACTTGACAATTTTCACAGATTTGGGAGGCATTTTCCTTAAAGCTGCAGTTAAATAATTTCACTTAGTTTAGGGATAACTCCCGGTAAATATTTGTAATGGCAACTACTGGGATTTTGCCTAGGCTGATGGTCTTCTCGTGGACAAGGCTTTGGATAAGTCTTGAGACTAGCCGGTGTGTAATAAAAATATACCAGAGATTGTTCTCAGTGAGACGTGGGAAGTCAGGAAGAGGATGGCCATTTTTATCTATAGTTGAATTCGACACAAAGATCGAGGTGAAAAGTTTCAGCTTGTCTGACGAGAATTAGATGAACTAATAGTGGGTACTTATGCTTTGTCACTATTCAGAAATAGGTTAGAGATCTTCCATATATCTAG